TCAAGCTGGCTGTAGTTAAACCTTTACTCAAAAAGCATCTCTAGACCCAGCAGTCTTAGCTAATTATAGGCCAATCTCCAACCTTCCTTTATATCAAACATCCTTGAAAGGGTAGTTGTCAAACAGCTAACAGATCATCTGCAGAGGAATGGCTTATTTGAAGAGTTTCAGTCTTGGTCTCGTCATGTTTGATTACTCCCTGCTATGTTTCCCTATTGTTTCCCATTCCCCCATTATCCCTCTGTGTCTATTTGTAGGTGCTCCCAGTTTAGGTTTAGTTTAGTTTTTGCCATGTTCTGTTTTTGTTTTCTGTCCCTGCCGCAGATGAAAGCTTATTCACAGTTAAGTTTGTTGTCAGTGTCTGCACTTGGGTCCTATTTCTCTCCACACTTTTCCCTTACAGCCTCTTGATGTGATTGTGTCGTATATAAATAAAACTGAACTGAATTTAAACATTTATTTTCCTTCTTCCTTTCTTCAGTGACCATTGGTCTTCAGTTACTTACTGTCACCCGGTTGCAAGGAAACTTTGTTGTAATTGGGGTAATTCATTCTTTTGTTACCGCTCGCAGAGACTATTGTAATTCTTTATATGTTGGCTCTGTTCAGTCATTACTTTGTTGAATGCAGGTCATACAAAGAGAAGCAGCTCAACTTTTCACAGGAAGGAAATGTTAACCTGTATCTTATAATGAACTGGAAGCCAGTGTAAAAAGTCAAATTTACACGTATGTGAACACACAGTTTAACATTTTATTCCTTGTTTTTAAGAATCTGAGAGGTTTAGGCTTAGGAGATTTAACAGACCTCTCTGCATTGAATCATATCTGTTATTAACCTCTGTCTCTCTTCCACAGCATGTCTTTATCCTGTCTTCCTTCTCTCACCCCAACCAATCGCAGCAGATGGCCCCGCCCCTCCCTGAGCCTGGTTCTGCTGGAGGTTTCTTCCTGTTAAAAGGGAGTTTTTCCTTCCCACTGTCGCCAAAGTGCTTGCTCATAGGGGGTCATATGATTGTTGGGTTTTTCTCTGTATCTATTATTGTAGGATCTACTGTACAGTATAAAGCACCTTGAGGCGACTGTTGTTGTGATTTGGTGCTGTGTATA